AAGACGGACCGGAGTCACGTCTATTGACCGCTCGGGTGTAACACTTCGAGGCAGATTGGACATCGCCACGGACCACACTGACCCCATTGGGGGTGGGGAATTTCATGCACAGATGAGGCATTGAAATTATCCCACCAATCTTCTTGATTGCGGGTCGGCCCAAGATAATATTGTGGACACAGTGGAGGTTGACCACAACGAATTCCAGCTCAGTCTTGATCGACTTCGGAGATGTGTCGATCTCGACTAGGAACATTATTTTCCCTTCGGGGTAGATGAGCGCCCCGGTAAATCCCGACAGTGGTACACCGACCGGAGTCAGCTCCTTCCTGTCGAGTCCAAGCTTTTCAAACACGTCCAAATGAAGGACATTCACACTGCTCCCAGTATCCACCATAACCCTCTGGACATCCGTCCCTTTGACATCAATCGTGACCACGAGCGCCTCCATGCCATGGTCACCGCTGCTGGGTTGATCTTCGAGGGTGAAGGTTATGGGCTCCATCTTTTGCCTCTTCCCGGTGTCCCGGGAATCCACTATAGCGACCGGGCAGTTCCCCCTCGATCGGGAAGCATCGTCCAATCCACCAAAAATAACGTGGATGGTCGGCTTTCCTGCTGGTCGGCTACTAGACGGGGGGTCAGGGTCCCGTCGGTCATCACGACGATCGTCCCTTCGATCGTCTCTTCGGTCCTGACCTGACCGATCGGAGCGTCCATCACGATCAGAGCAATCGGAACGGTGATGGGAGCGCCGGTGATATCTTCGATCGGTGTTCTTCTTGGTGTCTTCTCTCTTCCCCACACACTTGTCCAACTTCCCAAGATTGAGCAGGTCCTCCTAGAGTTGGCGCAAGTGGGTACACTCTTCAGTGTCATGCCCGGCACATCGATGGTAAGCACAATGCTTACTCTTGTTAGGGCCGTCTTGATCGGGATGGGGGAATTTGATGAGATTGCAGGACTGAGCGTACTGCATGGCCTCCGCTGCGGATCGGTTCAAGGCCGTAAACTCACCAGGCCTGGTGCGGGATCAGGGATGATCATCACCCGATCGGTGTTCCGCCCGGCCGGCCGGTTTATAGGACGACGACCCGACCTCCTGCGAGCGCTTTACGGCATTCGCCTCGCCGGCGTTGGCATAGTCTGTGACCCTTCGAAGGGCCTCCTCATACGTGGCCGGGGGGTGTAGAATGAAGTTTTGGTACAAATAACCTGCCCGGAGGGAAATGTGGACCATGTGGGTAGCGGTCGCATCATCCATTGGCTCGACCTCCCCGACCGCTGCCTTCCACTTGACGAGGAAATCAGTCAAGCTCTCCCCTTCGAGCTGCTTGGCCTTCTCCATATACATGTAGGACTTCCTCACCACCTTGGAGGTGATGAATTTCCTCACGAACTTGATCGTCAGGGCGTTAAAATCTGCAATTGACCCCGGCTGCAAAGTTCGGAACCACTCCGCTGCCCGACCGGTGAGCGTGGAGTAAAAGGCCCTACACATCACGGCGTCTGATACGCCCTTCAACATCATGTTGCCGTAGAAGTCGTTAACATGGACCTCAGGGTCCGTACGACCATCATAGCTTTTCTCCCCGGAGACCTTCAAATCAAGCGGGTAGGGCTGAGCCATTACCTCGGCAGTGAAAGGCGTCCTGAGCAAGGACGATTGGTCGACCGGGGGTGTTGTAGGGTGCGCGTTCCTGAATTGCGCAAACTCCGCCTGGAGGTTATAGAGCAATCCTCGGGTCTCGTTGAGCTCGGCCGCCTGAGCAGCTTGGGCTGCGTTCCGAGCGCGTCGTCGACGGTGAGATCTCGACCCGATATGCCCGGATGAAGCCTCCTGGCTAGCTTCCTGCATCTGTACATCTTCCGGCTGCCGGTTCGGGTCTTGGGGCCCCAAACGTTGTCGCATCGCCGGTCGAAGACGATCAAAAGCTACCGCTCGGGTAACTTCTTCGGGGTCCTTCGCTCGGGCTGGGACCTCCGGTGCTTGCTGGGCCTGCCGTGGTGCCTCCATCGCATCAGCACCCCCCGACCCCAACCGCGAACAAGCCGAGCGTCGAGCCCGGGAAGTGGGCTGATGCTGCGGCTCTACATGTGCGGCCGGGTAAACTGGAGGGGCGGCGGCTGGAGCCGTGTACGCAGGCGTGAAAGGTGGATAGCCAACCGGGGGTGTGTAATACATCGGTTGGCTGGGCCAATACCCGTACGGTTGAGGTGGGACCGGGTATGGATACTGGCCGGGGTACGGCATCTGCTGCTGCTGGTATTGCGGACCAGGTGTTTGATATCCCGGTTGAATGTAGTTCACCGGCTGTTAGGCGGCCGGGTATGTGTTAGATGGATGAGGTGGTGAGAGATTGAGGTTAAGGTCCATTGTCTGACCTTGTTGCTGGGTCGCCTGGTGGTCAGATGAACTTGTGGCATCCGCCTGATCGTCGGCGAAGTTGTTGTATGCCCACGGATACATGGTTGATGAGAGACCGGGTGCTCGTCAAGACGATAGCTTTCTTGCACGGGTCCCCACAGACGGTGCCAAACGATAGTGTTAATTGCCACGTGGTGCGGTAATTAAATAAACAAGAGACCAATTAGAGCAAGTAAATAACTCTTATTGATCACAGTGAAGTCCCTAAGTACAATCTAAGTGGCTGCTCTGAGTACCGACTAACTGCGGTCGGGATTCTCTAGCAACAACCTATCGATCGTCCAAACGTCCCCCACACTGTCGCTATCGCGGGTATTTATAGCCGCGGAGCCGGAGACACAAATCCGGCCGTTCGGCATGCTTCCCACGTAGCAACCACGTGTCAACGTCCCGGGTGCCCTGCCTGTCAATGCGTGGAGCCGCCACGTGTTCCTCGTCAGCTCTCTCGCCAAAGGGCTACCGCTCAGTGGTCGACACTGCCGCTCGGGTAACTCCCGGTCGGATCCCGACCGGGTCTTTCACAAGAAACCCGACCTGTTACCTGCAAAGACAAGAAGAAAATGACGAAGGCACACCGGTCGGGGTAAAGCTATGTCGGTCGGGGTATTCCCTACCAATGTGTTATATTCTGATGTATTTTGGTGGAAGCTGTTTTAAACCCAAACCCTAGTTCTATATTTGTGATTTATGTGTTATATTCTGATGTATTTTGGTGGAAGCTGTTTTAAACCCAAACCCTAGTTCTATATTTGTGATTTATGTGTTATATTCTGATGTATTTTGGTGGAAGTTGTTTTAAACCCAAACCCTAGTTCTATATTTGTGATTTATGTGTTATATTCTGATGTATTTTGGTGGAAGCTGTTTTAAACCCAAACCCTAGTTCTATATTTGTGATTTATGTGTTGTATTCTGATATATTATGGTTGAATCTGAATTGTGATGTCCCTTAAACAGTTAAAGGCTTAAATGTGAAATGGTGGAAGCCCTTAACTGAAATCCAGATAATGATGAACTGGATAAAGTTTCTGAATCTGGATTTCTTTGTGAATATGTTTATGGATGTATGTCCCTTAAATGTTCTTAATTGTTTGTGCATAATGTAAATATGTAAATGTAATATTATGAAATCTTGATAGATGATGACACAAAGAAGTGTCTGAATCTGGATTTCTTTCAATTGTTTGTATGCTTGAATGCTTGATCTGTTATTCTGTATGACGAACAATTGTTTGAAATCTGAATGTTGATGACTTGATGCCCATCTTTTTAGATGGAGAGCATCAGTCAACCTAGTTCTGGACCACAACCTTCAACTCAGGAGGGACAAGGGTGACAACCCCAAGACACTGAGATACCTCAGCAGCCTCAGGTGACTCCTGTTGTTCCAAAGAAAAAGAGAAAAGAGGTTGAGTCCAGATCCAGGGTGTGGGAGCACTTTGTAAAGATACATGATAAAGAGTACAATCTGATTGAGGGGAGGTGCATATATTGTTCTAAGATCTTTTGTTGTCATCCAAAAAAACATGGCACTTCATCTTTAAGAAATCATATGGTGGCCTGTCTTAAAAATCCTCACTCGAAGGATACAAGGCAGTCACTTCTGACTTTCAATGCTGTCTCATCCTCTGCACCAGGGGGTTCTGAAGGGGTAATGGGGGAATTAGGCACATGGGTGTTTAATCAGGAAGCCATTAGGAGGGCTTTGTGTGAGATGATTATAATAGATGAGTTGCCCTTTAGGTTTGTTGATGGGATAGGGTTTAGGAGATTTATTCTAGTTGCCTACCCAAGGTTCCAAATCCCTTCTAGGTGGACAGTTTCAAGGGATATTTTCCAAAGATACCTAGATGAGAGATCAGTCCTTAAACAAATTTTTAAGGGTTGCTGCCAAAGAGTCAGCTTAACCACTAACACATGTACCTCTGTACAGAGGATAAACTACATGTGCATTACTGCACATTTCATTGATGATCAGTGGAAGCTCAACAAAAAAAATCATAGCCTTTGTCCCTGTTTCATCTCATAGGGGAGAGTATATAGCCAAGGCCTTGGAGACTTGTTTGGTTGAGTGGGGTATTAAGAATGTTTTTACTGTCACAGTTGACAATGCCTCTTCCAATGATACTGCCATGGGATTTTTTAAGAGTAAGTTGATGTCTTGGGGTACCACTTCTGTAAGGTCTAAGTAAATGCACATGAGGTGTATAGCCCACATTCTAAATCTGGTGGTGCAAGATGGGTTGAAGTTTGCTGATACTTTAGTTAAGAGGGTTAGGGAAGCAGTTAGATGGGTTAGGAACTCCTCTGCAAGGCTAAAAAAATTTAGAGATCTTGCTGAACTTATTGGGGTGGAAGCCAAATCAGCTTTGCAGTTGGATGTTCCTACAAGATGGAATAGCACATATATGATGTTGAACACTGCAATCCAGTACCAGGCAGTCTTTGATGCCTATTTGGGAAATGATCCCTCATTTTCTGATGACCTTGGTACCTCTGTGCCTACTTTTATGGATTGGTTTGATGTGAACAGTTTGGTAACTCTGCTAAAAACTTTCTATGACATGACTATGAGAATTTCTGGTTCTCTTTATGTTACATCTAACACTTTCTTCAGTGAGATCTCTGATCTTAGTTGCATGTCAGATGACATGACTGGTGATGAATCTGGATCTGAAAAGGTAAATTCCATTCCTTAACTGAAATGTTTACTGTTTAACAAATCTGTATATTAACTAATGTTAATTATTTGTTTTTTTTTTTTTTACAGGTAATGGGCACCCAAATGAAAACTAAGTTTCTGAAATATTGGGGGGACCCTGAAAAAATGAACTGTGTGATGTTCTTTGGCACTATTTTGGATCCTAGAGATAAGGTTGAGTACATGCCTGCCCAGTTAACTCAACTTTATGGTGATGAGAAAGGCAAAGCCTGTTTTGAGAAGGTCCAATTTGCACTTCTTGAGCTGTACAATGATTATGCTGCCACTTACTCTGTGGATGTGAACACTGAACCAGCTGCTGTTGCCCAACCTTCTCAAACTGTCTTTGTGAGTGTGCAGCCTAGTGCTGTAACTGTTGGTAGGCCACAAGGTAAGTTGAAATCTCAATTGAAAAGTCAAAGGATGAAGAGTGGTGGAAGCCTTAAACAGACCTGCAAATATATTTGAGTGAGGCCATTGTGGAAGATAAGGTTGATTTTGATATTTTAAAATGGTGGAAGGTGAACTCTGAAAGACTGCCAATTCTCACTAAAATGGCAAGGGATATTCTTGCAGTTCCAATATCCACTGTGGCTTCTGAAAGTGCTTTTTCAACCGAGTGTTGGATCCATTTAGGAGTTCCTTAACTCCTAAGATTGTGGAAACTTTAATTTGTACACAGGATTGGTTGAGATTACCAAATCAACCTATTCAAATTGAAGAAAATATTGATGATTGTGAAAGGCTTGAGAAAGGTAATAGTAGTTTACTTAAATACTTTCATTATTATGTATTTATTTTATGATACTTATTATTATGTATTTTTTTGTATGATAATTAATATGTGTTTTTTATTTGCAGAGTTGCCAACTGGAGTTAGGACTGCTGGAACTTCCCTACCAACCATTGCAGTAATGTTCATTCATTCCGCTCTCAGTTTTATAATTAGTTGTTATTGTGTTCTCTTAGAAAATTAGATTACCATTCTGTTTTTATTTATGTCTTATGAATTCAATTATGTAAGTGCATTTTAGTGCCTCAGCCCATTCCACAGTTCTAGAGATGTCAATTGTACCCGCACCCGACGGGGAACCCGATTCCCCGCCCCTACGGGGACGGGGATGGGGATAGAAATAGGGGATCGGGGATGGGGATAGGGACAATTTTGAATTCCCCGTTGGGGATGGGGAGTACTCTCCCCGCCCCGCCCCGTCCCCGATGTATGTATGTATGTATGGGGAGTACACACACATATGTGTTACTTTGTATACAATATATATAATTTTAGAAGCATTCTTGTCATTGTTTGTCATGCTTATGAAATGCATATTTAAATAACATGTTTAATTGTAAAATATTGAATACTATTTTAAATTGGGGATGAATATATATACATTATTTATTTAAATGTTTTCGAATGTTTAATTTTTTTTTTTTATAACTTATTAATGGGGTGGGGATTCCCCGTCCCCGAATAATCCCCGTGGGGATGGGGATGGGGGTAGTTTTCCATTCCCCGGCGGAGATGGGGACGGGGACGGGAAATGGGAAAAAAGTCGGGGGCGGAGATGGGGGGGTATTTCCCCCACCCCGCCCCGTTGACATCCCTACACAGTTTCACTTGATTGAACATTTGAACATCAGGTTACAGCTTGACAGGTATGTGCAGTAGTATGGGCTATGATGATGCTTCCACCTTTGTCTGAATCAAAGGACTTGGGGTTGGTATGTTGCTCAAGTTTTGGATTTAGTTCCAAAACTTTAGAAGCAATTTCCCTCAAATCTTAATGATATGAAACAACAGCAATCTGAGCCTATTTTCTATTTTTGAGCATAAAATGTTAAACTGTTATTCTTTTCAGTTTTTTTCTTTTTGTTATTTGCTATTTAAATTTGCACCTTAAGCAGGAAGATGAGGAATGCTGAGTGCCTGAGTTGCTGGGTTGCTCAGTTGCTGTTGCTGCATTTGGTTTTTGAATTGTGCCTTAACAGCTTATTTTTTGAGAATTTGAATCTATAAACTGTTTTTGATTTTTGAATTGTAAGCTGTAAAGTTGTTAGCTTCATTAACTTGTAACAAGTTACTTGTTAGCTGTTAGCCTTATAGGGGCATTAGTCATAGCCGAATAGGGCTAACTTTTTAGTTGTGATTTGTGAACTTGTGATTTTGAAGTTGTAAATTGTTAACTACTAGTAGTAGTTAATACTTACTACTTAGAAGTTAACAAGTTACAATTTATTTAGTGTTGATTTACTTATTCAATAGTTAATTTGTAGTTTTTATGAATTTTTAATACATATCCGATTTAGTCCGTAATCCGATGCAAACCGTTCGAAATCCGAGATTTATATATCCGATAAGTTTACACTTAGAAAATACACGGATAGGGTTTAATAGCTGTAATCCGAAAACCGATCAGATTCCCATTCCCGAAAACTGAACCCGCCCGAACCGTCCGTTGCACAACCCTAGTAATACATAATAAATCTAACAAATCAATTTTAAAATTTCTTTTTCTTCATGCATTTCATACAAAGAAATTTATCACAGGTATTACAAGAAATACTTCCAAATAATCATATAAGAAAACTATATCATTTCATATACTAAGACATTTTCATATCATCTACCAACAAAATTCATATATTTTGAAAAAAATAGGGCAAAGTAATGGAGGACAAAACCACTTACCGGTTAAGCAATTTCCCTTCCAATATTTTTCCTAGGCCTCGGTATTCAAATCCCCTGTAGGCTTGAGTAGATTGTTTCAACTCTTGAAAAGAATAGGAGAAATTTGTTTTTTTTTTTCTTTCTTTAAAAGTGCCGAAATGGAGAGAAAGGAAGAAGAGAGGAATTTTTTTTTTTTTCTATTGCTAGAAGGATCGGCCAAGGTAGGAAAAAAGTTGAAGGAAAATAATTAGGCAGAAGTGTCAAATATGCCCATCTACTACTGCCAAGTGCTCAATTTCCACCACGAACTAAATTAAGTGTCAAATAGGCTCATCTACTAGCTAAATTTGTTCGATTAGCTTTTTTTGCAGGTGCTAACAAGTTGCTTATTCAATTATTAAAAAAATTCGAAATCCTTAATCAAACTATTGAATGCTTGATACTGACAAGAAAGATTGACCATCCATTGGTGCTGATTCTCTAGATTCCTCAATGCCTTGCCCTTAAACTTGTCTGCAACTATGCCTACACATTGTTGAACACTGTTGCCACAAATGTCTGTGATAGTGTCCCATAAAACATCCTCTGCATACTTAGAAAGTTAGAAGGCACAAATCCACCAGCGCCGCCGAGTTGCTATTCGCCTCCGCCATAACTAAAAAAAAAACTTCAAAAAAGTCAATAATTAAGGCACGTTGCAATCTGGGTAAGTTATTTTCAGCCGGGAAATGTTGGCGGAGGAGCCTATGGACGGCGGTGGTCCATGGAGGTGAAAAACGGCGCGGACAGCCGGTGGGAAATTCTTTTATTTTTTTTTTGGTTATATATATATATATATATATATATATATATATATATATATATATATATATATATATTATATTTTTTAATAATTGTATAGGCAACCTGTTAGCAACTTGCAAAAAAGTTAATTGAACAAATTTAGGTGGTAAATGTGTCTATTTGACATTTAATTTAGTTCGTGGTGGAAATTGAGCAGTTCGCATTAGTAGATAGACCTATTTGACACTTCTGCCAAATAATTATATTGGTCATCATCCTTCCTTAGTCAACTTATAGTAGTAATTTAATATGAGAATATTTTAAGTTGTACTCCCAATCATATTAATTATAAAGATTCTTATTATATATATCAATATACAATATATATATTATATAACAATTCACACATTATCCATATATATATTTATATCAAATATTATCCTACCTATTCTATAGATATATACTACACGTCACACACATATATACTTAATTATTATACTATATATATATTTTTTACTTACATACAAATAATATATGTTACATACAAATAATTAATATATGTACATACGTTACACATATAATATAATACATAATTATGAAAAATATACATATACAATTATATGACCCAAAATAATATGTACACGTTTTATATTAAAATAATTATTTTGTATTTCAAAATAATGCACATATACTTATAATCAAAATTATAATTATACATACTTTATTATATATTTATTTATAACAACAAATAATAATAGGATAAAGATGATGTGATTTTATTTTTAAAAGGCTTGATCAGAAAGGAAATGGGTGATCAATTGGAAGAAAAAAAAATGTAGAAAGGCTAGAAAAAACGGGTATCACACTCTTTCATAGTTTGATTCAAACTAATTGAATTTTTATTTTGACAAATTGTTATCTAATCAACCAAACTAAATTATACTTTAACTAATTTGATTAATTCGTCCAAATAACTAATTTTTATTATATATAATTTATTTTATATTATATATTTGATACAACCATATTGTAAAAATTGTATTACGTTACATTGGATATCTATTAATGTACAAATAGTAGACTAATGTCTTTAGGATAGTCATTCGATTAATTTGATTAATTTTGAATCAAGCTTTGTGATGAAGATGCCATATCGATAGCAGAACAAGTTATTCATAAGAATTGATGTGACAAATTAGTAAATTAAGTGATAGTGAACTTATTTGTCACAAAAAAGTTTAAAAATGTGTGATTATAAAATGTATTTTAACAATTATATTCATTTTAAAAGGCACTAAATAGTTGCATTTTAAGTGACCACAATATTTAATACCTAGTTCACACCAAATTACTTGACACCAACTTGAATGCGATTTTAGTGGCAAACATTGATTACAACATAATTTCACATAATATTCATCTATTTAATTATAGGGACAAAGTCATTGTAACAACTAATTACTCGTCACAATTATCATAAACTAGTGACAAAACTTGAAATCAACATAAATATTGTCACAATTTAGTAATTTTTATTAAGGAATTATAGAGCGTCACAAATATTTTTAACAATTTCATCACAAAAAGTGATAATATTAGTGACAATAATATTTTTTCTCACAATTGTTTCTCATTTCTAATGGTACTAACCAATTTTATTTTTATTGACAAAAAAAGTTGTTACAAATATTATAAACAAGAGTGACCAACAACTATTTGTCACAAAAACTACAAACATTTGTGTCCACATTATATTTTGCCACAATTACATTCGTTCCCGTCATAATTATAATGCCACCAAAATGCACATACATTTAGTGACAACGTATGTTACGACACTATTATTCTAGTAATAGTGACAACTTATTCGTAACAAATACTTTCTTGTCACAATTGACATACTATCCGTGACCAAAAAAAGTTATCGCAATTATCTCACAGAATAGTGTCAACTTATTTTTTTGGTCACAAAAAGCATATTATTTGTGACTAAATTATGAAGTGTCACAAAATGTCTTCATTCTTGTAGTGACGACAGACAATTTTACCCATTCATATGGGTGGGGATCAAACTCCAAACCTCATGCTTAAGAAATGAGGTACTAAACCACCACACCAACCATGTTGGTTAAAGATTAACTTTTTAAATATTATATTTAATTCAAAGTTTAAAAGGACTAACTAAAATTACACTGGGATCGGAGTTCAAAAATAACTAAAGAATGGATTAGATAACGAGGTTATAGAAGATTTCATTCTCTTATATGCTTTCAAAAAATATCATTTGATCCAAATTAATTATAACGTTTTTTAGGTAAATAATGTATAAAGAATCACAAGTTTATCAAATACATACTCAAGCTTAAACATATGGTCATTACCAGAATATCCACATTATTATTGTTTATGGGGGTGTAGCTCATATGGGAGAGCGCTCGCTTTGTATGCGAGAGGTGCGGGGAAGGGTTCAATTCCCTGCACCTCCATGAAGTTTACGACATAACTTCAACATTGAAACAAAAGAAAGAACTTTGACCATGTTTCCAATATATATATATATATATATATATATATATATATATATAGAGAGAGAGAGAGAGAGAGAGTAAGGTTCAAGTGCGGCGACATACGTACGAATATACACTATCAACGTTAGGAAAAAAACACCATACACCATCAACGGATTCAACGCTAGGAAAATGCACAACAAAAACACACATAAATTACACCATCAACGCTACGCTATCAACGTTAGGGAAAAAACCACCATACACACCATACACCATCAACGGATTCAACGCTAGGAAAATGCACAACAAAAACACACATAAATTACATCACAACGCTGGGAAAATGCACAACAAAAACACACATAAATTACGTACGCATCACCAAAAACACACCATTAGGTGTGAGTAAAAATATCATATAGTGTTCAAAAATACATCATTGGGGGTGTAGCTCATATGGTAGAGCGCTTGCTTCGCATGCGAGAGGCACGGGGTTCTATTCCCTGCACTTCCATGAAGTCCATAACATAACTTCAACATTGAAAAAAAGAAAGAACTTTGACCATTATTTTTCCAATATATATAGAGAGAGTAAACACACATAAATTACGTACGCATCACCAAAAACACACCATTAAGTGTGAGTAAAAATATCATATAGTGTTCAAAAATACATCATTGGGGGTGTAGCTCATATGGTAGAGCGCTTGCTTCGCATGCAAGAGGCATGGGGTTCAATTCCCCGCACCTCCATGAAGTCCATGGCATAACTTCAACATTAGAAAAAGAAAGAACTTTGACCATTTTTCACACACACACACACACACATATATATATATATATATATATAGAGTAAGGTTCAAGTGCGGTGTCACCAAGAGTTCAACAAATATACACCATCAACAAAATGCACAAAAAAACACACATAAATTACATCATCAACGCTAGAAAAATGCATAACAAAAACACACATAAATTACGTATGCATCACCAAAAATACACCATTAGGTGTGAGTAAAAATATCATATAGTGTTCAAAAATACATCATTGGGGGTGTAGCTCATATGGTAGAGTGCTCGCTTTGCATGCGAGAGGCATGGGGTTTGATTCCTCACACTTCCAAGAAATCCATGACATAACTTCAACATTGAAAAAAAAGAAAGAACTTTTTGACCACTTTTCCAATATATATATATACATATATAGAGAAGCACACATAAATTACGTACGAATATATATCATCAACGTTAGAAAAAATGCACCACAAAAACACACATAAATTACGTACGCATCACCAAAAACACACCTAATTACGTACGCATCATCAAAAACGCATCATAAACACACATAAATTACGTACACATCACCAAAAACTAAAAACACCATATAGTGAGTTATATGGTGTATTTTTTGGGTCTGTTGTGTATTTTTTTGCGTTTCATTGTGATGTGTTTCCCTTACACTGTTAGTGCATGTTGTTAACACTGTTGGTGTATTCTGAAATTCCGTCGCACCTAAGGACATTGCCGCATTTGAACTTTTTCATATATATATATATATATATATATATATATATATATATATATATATATATATATATATATATATATATATATATATATATATATATAAGAGTCAAAGAGAGTTAGGTCTATAATGGGTAGAAAAAATGACGGTCAAATTTTTTAATCAAATGAATGGCTCAGATTGATCAGATTTTAATTTTTCATTGAGATTTCCTAATTCATCCTTAATTATATGATTATCCGTTAACTTTTCTATTAAATATTATCTTCTCCGTTAATTTCTGATAGTTCACCGTTAGCTTACTCATTGATTTCAATAAGAAAGGTCTTAGGTTCGAACCTCATCCCAATCAAAGTTGCCATAATTAGTACTCTATTTTACTCTTATTAAATTAAATAATAATTTAGTAGCTACA